TTTATGATAGTAACTTGTTAAATCAATATAGCACTACAAAGAAATTTGTAAAGAAATAATTTAGACTTTCAAGTGGTATTCACAGTCTATGATAATACTTATTTTTTGCAGAAGTTAGATAATATTAATATGAAAAATCTGGTGGTAAGAAAGAAAGTAAAGATTTTTAAAAGAAGAGAGTTAAGGTTCAACAAGAAAGACTTTGTTAGCTCTTTAGAATAATAAGTAGATCAAAAATAAAATGGAGAAATTTAAGAAGTTTTTATGCAATCTAAAAAAAAATGAGGAGGATTAATGGCACATATTAGAAAGTGTATAGAATTAGAAGAGGCGGATGTTTTAATACAAAATTTTATATCATATAAATATTATCTTAAGACCATAAAATATATCAATTTTTTAATATATATTTATTTATTAAAAATAAATTTAAAAAATAAATTATGTTTTAAAAATAATTTATAATTTATTAATAAATAATAGTAATAATAATAATATTTTTAGTAAATTTTATGAATATTCTTCTAAATTTTAGTTGAAAACAAAGCTTTTTAGAAGCAAAATAAGATCTATAGATAATTAATAATTATAATTTTTATTTAAGATGAAAATCAATAGATATATTTTTAATAGATTTATAAATAGGTGTGTAACTTTTGATAAAAATAAAAACATAGATTGTAAGAATAGAGATTCAAAAAAATAAAAGAAGAGGTTACGTACTAACTCTATAAAGAAAAATTTCAATGAAACTTTGAATATCAAGTAGCAACTAGAGAGTTGTGGTAATGGATGAATAATAGGTTATTAGAGTAGAGCCTAAGAGGTCTTAGGGTTGAATCTTTATAATGGTAGAAAGGGAAGAGAAAAAAATATATTCTCAAAAAAATCATCAATTAATTTATTGTGGAAATCCAAAGGATTGGTCCTACAATGCATACATTAAGGAATTATGTTGGGTGATTTATCACTTATAAGTAGAAGCAAGGAATCTTTCTTATTTGTAGTATGATGTATGATGCTTATATCTTTTATATATTTATTTTTTTATTAGATCTTAAATAAAAAAGAGTCACATATTGTTTATTGCTGAAGTATAATGACATCAATCTTCTAAAATCTTCAACTCACTTCTAATATATATATATATATATATACACATAAATCAAAGATATAGGATTTAAGGCTAGGATAGGATTTAGGATTTTAGAAAAGAACAACATTATTTTGAAAATGATATTAAAGCCCTTAAGAGAGGTTTTTTTCTCTTGTTTTTGTTTTATGAATTTATAATACATGGCTTCTTAACTAATTGAAGACCAAGAGAATTTAAGAAGGACTTAGCTTTTATTGGATGATATTTTTGAAAGTATTGAAGAAAAGATAGATTAATTAGTAGTAGCCAAATATGAAATATTTTTTTAAGGCAAGATTCTTTCTTTGTAACAACAAAAATGCAAAAAAAAGTATTATTTTTAAATATTTAGATGTAGAAAAAGAATACAATATTTTTGTACCTAGAGAGAAGAAGATGATTTTTAGTTGAGATGTGATTTTTTTTTAATAACAATGATGAATTACTTGGTAAATTACAAATTCTTCAATAGAATAATAGAAGAAATGGAGATTATAGAAACAAGCTTGGCTTAGTTGATCTTTAATATTTTAATAGAATAAAAACATCTAAATCATAAGCCTTAGAATTACATGTAAATGATGGACTTGGTAGAAAAAGGACTTATAGGGCAACAAATTTTATACAAACAAAAATAGTAGAATTCTATTAGTAAAAAATAGAAGCAATCACTTAAGTTCTATCACCAAAATGTGGTTAATATGTGGAATTGATCTATTTAATATGAAGATTGACAATATAGTTTATTGCGTATTTTAATAAAATAAAAATATTTTTATTTGATAAGATTATGACTTGTTAATTGAAACAATGGATGTTATTTATGTTAAAAAAACATGCATAATCAAAAAATCGTTGAAGAAACCATAAATTCATCCCTTAAAAACAAATAAAGTCATATTATAAAATAAGAACTTGATTCTTTAAAAGATCATAGTATATAAGAATTATTATTTATATCAAATAGCAAGAATATGAATTTCAAATGGATTTTTTTAAAAAAAGGTTATTAGCAATGGTTCCAATAAGTATATTAATATGATTAATTAAAAAATATTTTATTTATATAAAGGATCTTAATTACCAAAAATCTATTATATTAATTTCTTATCTTATAATAATTTACATATTTATTATAATTCTTACTATCCTTAATTAGAATATATTGTTGTTTTGAGTTATTTGAATGAGAAACTTAATAAAGAATAAATACCTAGATTTTCACATCCTAAAAATTATAGGATATTTTTTCTATGTTTTTATATAGAAGCTATTCATGTATTCATATTAATCCTTAATAAAGATCATTTCTTACCTTTTAATAGTAATGGCCTTGATATAAGTACTTAAAACTGAAGTCAATGTCATAATCAAAGTCAATGATTTAGCTATTAAACTCCAAACTTATCTTGATTATCTTTGTTCTTCAATCTCTTCTTAGTATTTTTTTTTTTTTAAAGTTGAAGTGGTCCATTGATGTCATTTATTTCAAAGTAAAATATAACTTTCACTTAACAAACCTAATCTTAACATTATCAATTTTGTCTTCTAAGTTCTTACTTTCTTAAGTTAAAAATCCTAAGAATCTTCATTGATTCTTCTTTGTAATACTTATAATTTATTAATAGAATAAAAAGATATAATAAAATGATATGATATAATTTTAATTATTAATTTTTTATCATAAATTTTTTATTATAAATTTTTTTTATGATAATTACAATATTCATTTGAGATTATTTATAGCAATCTTATAATGAATTCTTTTTAATACTATTTTTTACTACCTTAACTATCTAAGGTAGCTTAATCACCTTGTCTTTATAACATGTAGGCAACTAATCACTATTCCATTCACACTAATGTCATAACTTCTTCCTTCTAATCTTTTTTACATTAGCTTGTTCTTCTTCTTCTTTTAATTCCTTCTATACCAAGTATTCTCTTCTTTTTTTGTCTCTTTTTCATACCAATGTTTTTTCTTCTTCTCCTTCTTTTTCTTTTTTTCTTTCAATTCTTTTTTTACTAAGTTTTTTTTTGTAATAATTTATATCCAAAATTTTACTAAAGTTATATCTATAAAATCTTTTACTATATTACATTATGTAATAAGTATAATTCTAAGGTTAACAAAGAAGACATCTATATGAAGATTCTAGAAGAGCTCAAAATTCTACTTAAATACAAAGATACAATGTTACAATTACCAAAGACCTTATATGGCTTAAAGCAATTTAGATGCAAGTAGAATAAGATTTTAGGTACATCTTTATTGAGTCTTAGTTGAAAGCATTCAAATTCACATCTTTATTTTTCCACAATATATATTAAAAGATTAGTTCTTGCATTGATCATTTATACTAATGATGTACTAATTGGTAGGAAGTACTTTGAGATCTTTATTAATTGTAAGGATGAATTGCAAGAGTGATACAAGATGAAAGACCTCAATGAGTCTAGTCATTTTCTTTGCATTGATTTTGTAGAGGACAAGAAAAATTATATTATTAATTTGAGTCAAATAAAAATATATTAATTGAAAGTTGAAAGAATTTGAAACAAAAGATATAAAATCAAGTGCAATATTGATGGTACAAGGTCATCTTGCTACACATGAAAATGAAATATATATATATATATATATATATATATATATATAAGTATAAAATTTTATTTTAAAGATTTGAATTTGATCTTATTCCTTGTAAATTGTATAAGGTGCTAAATACCTAGATTCTCACATCTTAAAAGCTTCTAGATATTATTCATATACTTCTACATATGAGTTATCTTTACACATAATAGCTCTTGATAAAGATCATTTTTTTGTCTTTCAATAGTTATAGCCTTCATGTAGTCTTTAAAATCTAGTACAATGTCCATATCAAGGTTTATATCAATAACTTTGTTGAGGTTGAACACTCTGATTTTGTACTTAAGCTTTAAACTTATCCAAATTGTCTTAATTCTTTAATCTTTTCTTCATATTTTTTCATATCTTATAATATTTCATTGATGCCACATAAGTCTTTGTAAAATTAAAATAATCTATGAATGGAATTTTCTTAAAATAGAATTTTAGCTCACAATTGATAAACCTTATCTTGTGATTGTCTATTTTCTATCTATTTCCATAGCATTAACAACAAAGTTCTTTCAATCTTAAATTAAAAATTCTAAAGATCTTCATGAATCCTTTAAATACTTAGTGATTTAATTTGGATTTTTATGCTACTTTTATATGTTTTTTAAATATAGGAAAAAAATTAAATTAATTAATATATTTTTTTCTTTCTCTAAATATAAATTTATTATTATATTTAATAGATAGAAATATTGAATTATTTTTTAATTTGATATGAAATAAGAATTGATGATTTATTAACATCTAATTATAATAATAAAATATGAATTATAAAAATAAAATATTCTAATTAATAAAAATTAACATATAAATAAAGCATCATAAGTTTATTTCAAGTTATATCAATGTATTTGAATAGAAATTTATTGCTAAAGTTATATAACAATTTTTTTATATAACAAAAATTTATGAGTTATTTCTATTTTAACAATATACATGAACTCCCACTGTTGCATTAAGTTCATGCGGTTTTTGTAGAAGTACTAACTGTAATAATTGAACCTCAATATTGCTTAAAGGGTTACTTAAAATAGCTATGTGGAATGACGAAGCGTATTTAAAATAAACATGAAATCAGTATTTTTTTAGTACTCAAAATATTCAACTATGGTGACGAATGAATGAAAGTGGGTTCACAAGAATTTATCCATCTTAGCTTCATCCTGAATCCTTCGGTGAGAATGGGATCATTTCCCGACAATAGAAGAATTAGGATTTGATCTCTGCTGTTTTCAAGTCTCGGCACTACTCAAGCTTCCAGAAGCATCGATCAGTCGATCGATGTTTCTCGGTTTTAGGGTTCCGAGCTTGGTGGGATGTTGGAGGGCCCGAAAGTATGCGGAGCGCGTGGATTTTCTCATTCTGTTCGTAAATCAGATTTTATGGAAGCTTTATGTATTACCATCAGTAGAGAAATCTCCTGGTTTGAGGTTTTCCATCAATTTGGGTTTTGATTATACGGTTCACCTTCGAACTAGAATTCGACTTCCAGATTCCAGGTTGCTATTGTGCTCCTCGGAGGATTGAGCGTGTTTTGTTCGTATTCTGGGGCATTGGGTAGGCGAATTTAGGATGACGTCGAGAATAGGGCAACGTTTGTTACGAAGAGCCCTACAGTTGGTTGGGACTGAACCGATTTCTAGTGCAACCTCTTCTTCAGGTCTGTACTCTCTGGAACGTTGAATTTCCTTGTTAGCAGAGTAGACGGTTTAGCTCGTGACATGTTACATTTATGGATCAGGCGTTTTGCTGTTGCCCTTGTTGTTCATTTAACTCGCCTTGATTTCACAAAAGATTGATACTAGGAGAATTCAAATTAGTAGTCTTTCGATAGCTCTACGATATATTTGTTCATCTGCTGCTCCAGAATGTTATGTTATTTTCTCTGCGAGTTATTTCAATGCTGCAATTCGTCATTGCTAATTGGTGATGCGGCCTTGAAAGTCTTAATAGAATTCATTGGATGTTATGCTTTGTGTTTTGAGCTGAACAGCCTAGAATTAAGTTTGAGATGGCGCACCTAGGATTATCAGCAACTTATCTGACTTTTATAAGTTTAAGTTTTAAGTAGAGTAGATTTTTAAACTTTTAATTAAGTGTCTTATTTGTTCTGACAGTATCCAACTATGTTGTCACAATTCCAAGGATTTATGCTCCAGCCGCTCCTTTTGAACCAAGTTTACCTAGGACGACCATCAGAGCCTTACACCTATCTCATATCAGATATTTGTGCAGTGCACCGAAGGATTTAAACCCCAGTAGTAGCTCTATTAGTGTACAAGATAATGGCCCGGACAACGTATTGACCACACCAGAAGACGAAAGGGACCACCAAAAACCATCTCCGAGACACGACCTTGCTATGCTTTTTACGTGCACGGTTTGTGATACACGATCTGCGAAGACAATGAGTCGTGTCACTTATGAGACTGGAATTGTGATTGTACGTTGCCCCAACTGCCGGAACTTGCATCTGATTGCCGACAGGCTGGGCTGGTTTGGTGAGCCAGGCAGTGTTGAGGACTTTCTGAGGCATCAGGGAGTTTCTGTACGAAAGGGCAACGAGTCGAGCTATGAGTTTTCGGTTCACGATTTGACTGGATGGACCCCACCTAATCAGAGCAAGGGTTGATCACTTCCTGTGGCTGTTGCATTTTTTCAATTTTCCAATTTCTGTTTGTTTCAAGGGCAGCGGTTAGAATTGCTGGTTGTGCTCCTCATAGAGTTTCTTTTTCATCTTAAAAGATATTGGAGTCCATGTCCATCCAGAGAATGGTGGAGGCAATATCAAAAATTAGCTGGTGATAGTGCGAGGCAATGTGATTTCGAGGGCGGCTTGAAAAATGCTCATTAAATATAGAAAAGTAGACGATACTTAATACTGAAAGACTCTGCAAGGACAACATCAACATTGTCTGTTGGTCAGGGTGGATCCCGACTTCGCCTACCGGGAACTTTTTCCAATTACGAATGCGTGTACTTGCCGCAATGAACAAGAGCTTCTCATTTTAGAGGCACAATCTCAAATCCATCTTTCTCTGGGAAGCTCTAAGAATGTTGCAGTAATAGAGTGAGGGATGACGTCTTGTATATCCATTCAATGCAGGCAAAAGCTCTTCGGAACTTTGTACATGAAATCTAATTGAACTCAAGCGACGGAAACGTTATGTAAATGTACGTTGTGTCGATTTATCTCAAGTAGGATTAGACAAAAAAAGATTTTTACGCCTCATTCATTACACGCTTTGTTACCAATCTACTTTTTGTGGTCAACACCAGTAGGAGCAAAATGAAATCTACAACAAACGTTTGAAGTTGTGACATTAGAATAATTGAAGAAATTGGGTACTGCAAATCGGAACACGGGAATATATGTGGGGAAGTTTGAAATATGAAGTGAATGAGACGGATATTCATCGTGACATTGAAACATACGATCTGCGTCATTATATCACGCAGCAACGCAAAACACGTGTCGCCTGTCTAACCCAAAGCTTGTGCCGTGAGCGAATTCTATTACATCCATCCGTTGTGGTGTGTTAAGACAACTCAGTCGTCTTTCACCAAAAAATGTGTATACGTACATCAAAACTGTGTCCACATTCATATCAATACAATGTACTGCCTACGCAAGTTTTAATGCTGAGAACTAAATGAAAATTCGGCTAGTTTAGTGGTTACAAGTCGCTACAACAAAGGAAAAATTATATCCGCTAAATAGCAGCATTAGGATTGTTTCCAGCCAACAAAATGTTGATCTCAAGGCCCCGACTAAACGCTTGATTGAAGACGAGCCGTGTTTGGAAAGTTGAGACGAAGGGAAACCAAGACAAGAAAGCAATAGGCATGAACAATATCATTCCCATGGCTGCATCATAAAGTCGAGCTATTCCGCGCACTGATTTCCAAAGCCCAAACCACTTGATGACAGGGCGCATTGCAACGGCGATCTGCACATATTCGATAAGGATCCACGTCAAAAGCTCACATTGTTAATGAGACTTCTCCAATAAGATCTTTATACTCAAGAAGATCGTATAAAAGACGGTGGAGTAGAGTCTCCGACGTCATCATATTCCAAGTATCTAGAGCATTTACAAAGATATCGTCACTTACAGAGAGTAGCCCCCAGCCAGTTGGAATGAGAGCTAATAGACTTGCAAACACATCACCAACTGTGAGCGGTGTTAGAGCAACAGCCACGCTAACACCGGTAACAACAGCCAGGAACACAATGCCTTGAAATAGCCTTACAATAAGCTGGAAGTTTGCTGATGCCTTCTGGCTAAAAGTGAAAATCTGCATGTCAATGACCTTGAATTAGGTCTCTGATGTGGCAACTGACACTTCTTACTAAAGCAAAAAAGAAAAGTAGCCGAAGCAGGGAATAAAGCACAGGATGCACAAAAATGTTCCTGTACACGTGGGACCTAATGTAGTATTTAGTTCGACGATGACGATGATAACGTCTACAGAATCTAATTAAGCTTATATCAGAAAGTGACACCCACCTTAAATAAAACAAATACACAAAGCATCACCACCCAGGAGTATCCGTAAACCTGAGTCAATACACAAAAAATAATTAGCACAAGATTCCTGATCGGGACGGGTGCAGTTCTTATTGCACATCGTGTCAATTTCCTGAACACTATCAACTTCACTTAAATATGCTACTCCCTACGAACACAGTTTGGAAGTGGTTTGATGTCATCGATACATAAAAACAAGGACGCATTTTTTTTGACGTTTGTTCAAAGGGTCAAGGCTTAGAGGGAACACAAGCATATATGTTTGCGTGACCTTTCCACACTGCCTTCTGCCTGGAAAATCTGCATATATCTATCACCTGATAGAGGCGTCTCCCTATCTGCTGCAACACGAGTACCCACATTCTAGAATAGTATGCATTAAAAGACAAATGATTACTTACCCAGAAAGATTTGTTACTGCCAGAAACATTGAGGGCATAAACAACACCATACTGAAATATGAAAAACCGCAAACTTAACAGGATCTCCCAAAATCGTCCTCTGGGTGTTTGAATGTGAGATTGCTCCTCGTCCCACCAGACCATCCAACTCTGTTTGCCTTCATCTCCGATTCCTCCTTTGTGAAATAACCAGTTTGTCCAGTCTTCAAAGTCTTTCACGGTCCTAAAGTTGAAAAGTGAAAATTAGAACATCGTGTCCTGAGTTGTGGGACTTGTGAAATACGTCCAGCCAAAAACCATGATATTCAATATAAGGCCAACATTGACAACTGCCATGTATATTCAAGAATGGTTATCTTACTTCTGCCATTCAAACCCTGAAGGATTGAAGATGAATGGAGCATATAACCATGAGAGAGCTAGAAACCAACTACTAAACGTGCTGAGAATGTAGCTGGCAGTATTCCGGTCGTGAGCTCCATAGACAAGGTACACAATCAACAGCATTGTAATCTCCATTCTGCAAGAAAGTAACAAATGTTAAGAATTTAAACTACGGTCATGTTCCAAAAAGCCCGGTTAATATGTTTCAGAAACGATGTAGTTTTGGCTTATAGGTAATCAAGAATAGAAGAATGGATGAAGTATAGGGATCATGTAAGTATATCTCCAACTCAAGGCACAATAACTTCATATTTCTCAACAGAAATCCAGGGGACTACAAATGAAACAGCGAAATTGAGAATGTAGGGCACACCACTAAATATTTTACAATTGAAGGGTGAGAGGAAGAGGAAAAACGTACCCTTTTACAAAATGACTCCGTGCGTATGTACGGTAGTTCTCGGCAAACGGGATATGCTCAACGACAAAGCCTCTTCCAGTTGATTTGTACTGCAAGAGAACCCACCACAGAATAAGAAATCCACAATAGATTATGTCTTGACGGTTGCAAACAAGCTGGAAGATCCAAGTCGTATAGCTTTGCGCGGCGGTCTAAACCACTAGCATGTCTCGGTCAATACAATCTTGGTGCAGAGCAAGATCAGAAACCAAGATCAGGAACAAAAGTCTCAGTCAAAAATCAACATCAGACATGTTTCAAAAAGCTTGGGACTCCATACCTTCGCGCCTCCATGAAGCAGCGTACGGCCAAAGTAGTGTGTCCGAGTTCCAAGTGAAAATGTAAAGAATACGGAACTCAATTGAAACTGCATGGTGAGGAAGCTGATCACCGCCTGCAGCATGCAAGCCATTACTATTCTCATATTAGAACTACAGACACATAGATCAAAGTGTGTCTGGGAAAGGCCATCATCGTTTGAAGGCGATGATACCAATTCCATAAATAAGGGAACGTACAGATGACAATGAAGCATGAAAGAAAAAACTTCTCCCAAGAATTGCAACGTAGAGGATTGATAAGGTACAACAAACACATTGCTAAGTACGTGCTGCATTGTCCAGAGGCGAGAACAAATCTGTATGTATTCAGTGGCTTAGTACTTAACTAAACACATCAGTTCAAAAGTTAAAATATAGTAGCGACCATAGTATGAAAAAATTATAAAAAATATAACATTTCACCACACGACACTGAACACCCGTGCGCTACGTAATATTAAAAATCCCAACATACGAGGAAAAGCAAGCAACTTTCAAAGAAGAATTTGACGAGGCCCCGTACCTGCAGGATTCCTTGTTCTAGAATAAAGTTGACTATGATAGGCACAGCTGTGAATATACCAATTTGAAGAAGAAACTGAGTGTTCAGAGCTGATTGCAATGCTGTGTTTTCCAATAAGCCGTTCGCTCTGAGGGACTCATCAACACCCGAGAGTGCCTGCAGTTATACAAACATCACAATTTGATTATAAATTGAGCAGCCCAGATGTCTTAAAGTCAATGACCTGAACAATCATATATTCGATCTACAAATGGAACAGAACAGTCGAGAGAGTTGCTTTAAATATAGAGTTGCACCCAATTCGCTCAGGATTGCCAGTGGCAACTTCGCAACGTAGAAAAAATAGCAACATCCAATTAAAAATATAGGAATTTATATAAGATACTGCAATACTGCCAATGATTGTCACATACCAGGTATACTTTGCCGTACAGAAACACGTAGACAGTTAAGACAGTCAGCTGCCAGACACGAAGTGTCATTAGGATAAAAACAAGAAGCAGCAGAAACCTGAACGAACTGTCGGAGATGGTTTGCACACATGTAAACACGAATATACGCTAAGAGGCGTGGACAGCATGCAACTAGTGTCTATACAATACAAGTTAACGTATTATTATAAGCGAGGCAGAAAAGATTCTAGATCACCCACCATTGTCGTAAAGTAAAAACCAACGGAAGTAAAGAAGAAGGAGCACATTCTGAAGAAGTCAAACAGCTGCCCCAAACGATATATATCACGACTAATTGATTGTTCTCCATTTCCAGAAGCAACTTTGCCTTCAAAAGCCGCGATCTGGTTTAAACCCACGTCGCGTCCCTTTCCGCACTGACATCCCCAAATGCGTACAAAATTAAATAGCAGATAATAATTAAGGTACATATTTAACCAAGAGTAAGAGAGAAATACCGGTATAAAGACATCAACGCAACTAACCTGAATATATTCATGGTGAGTAATATTTCCTCGTCGTAATGTTGAATTAAAACCTGCAAAAGGATTAGAAAAGGGAATAAGCTTAAAGAACATTGGTACTCCCTTTCTCTTAACAAGCAGCAGCAAGTTGCCAAATTTTTAAACATGATGCCAACAACTCCAAATGACAGAACTAAAAACCCGAAAAAGGTTTAAGACGAAATAACGAAAAATACGCGAAAAGTAATAATATGATGAAAAAGCATAGGCTGGAAGAAACTGAACCTGCGAAAATATCTTCACTGAGATTAATTTGTTTTGAAGGTTTGCTGATACCTCCCCTTGTTATATGGAATATACGATCAAAAACATCGGGATGACCATAATGCATCCTCACCCTGCACATCATATGTAGCAACCATACGAAGTCATCGAAACCTTGGCACCTAAGGCAAAGTCATACTAGATTAGAACTAACGATTTACAGCACATATAATTATCATAGAAGCACCTGAACAGCTATGTTAACCCTTTAACACACGTGCCTGCAAAATAGAAATCAAGTCTCTGATTCTAATCATCATTATATTGTATCTTAATTGCAATCGAAAGGGCTTTCAAATGCATTGACAATCTTGATCGTGAACCCTACACGTTCATCCTAATAATTGCATCAAATTTATAGAAGTAACATACAGACTCGTGAAAATGCAGGAAGCAAACACAGAATCTGCCAGAACACTCACTTCAGTGGCTTTGCCAAGACTCGTTGCCCAAGTGTGACAAAGCTCCGCTCCTGCAGGGACATAAACCATGCCAGTGACGAAACACTGCGAACAGGAAGCTAAATCAGAGAGGTGACATATGATGCCTCTTAGGATTCACTTCACATTTGAGACAGAATTGCAAAAGCGCTTAAAGATAAATGTTGATTAGTCCTTTTGAATACAGCCTAGATTGACCGTAGTAATACCTGCCCGTGAATACATGCTCACGAACTCCAAGAATGGTAGGGCGACGAAGTCCATGTTTTTTTGAATCAAATTCTTCCAGAAGATTTCGCATCTTAAGAGTTTCCTCTAGGTAATGCTCCTTAAACACAAAAGGAGTAACTGTCAGACAGATATGGTTGACATGATACTATGAACGTTAGATTTGTTTGGAAAGGAACTACTTGCTCCGAAGTAGAGGGATCATGATATGACAACTTGGATTGAATTGATTCCCATTTTCATATGTGACCAGTACAATAGAAATACAAATTAAGTCAACCTGATTCATGTCAATGGTCTGAAGGGCCTCCCCTCGTGTGAACACAATCGCATGGTTCTGATTCTCTGGTTTTCCTTCTCCCAGATTGACTTCTCCAGGGAGTTTGATTGAATATATTTCCTACACATGATATAACTCAAATAAGCGACAAATAATAGAATGGCGGATAGCGTCCTACACAGAACTTAGTAATGTCCACTAGAGATCTTACTATGTCTGCAATAAAAAGGAGCTCAACCTCATAGTTAACACAAAGACTACCACTGTTAGGGTGCAAGAAACCTCCGAAGGTAAGAAATCTAGAGAAAATGTAACCTGACGATTACCTCATCCCTTCCACTAGGATCTGCTTTAACAAGCTTCGAGTGGTATTCAGTGACCAGGTGTCCGTCAACAATCTCCTTCGTTTCATGGATGTATGCAATCCTTAAAGAATCATTTCTGTCATTCAAGATAAGATATCAGTCACAAAAGACGGGAAAAAAATGATTTTCCTTCCATTTAATAGCTGATAACATCTTACCATATAAATACCGAATACCATTAACAGCAGGCATCGGATTGTACAGAGTGCACCAAACAACAATGATAAAACCTCGACTAGCAGTCCATATACTACATATATCATCCTTTGAATACACCATATAATACTTGCGAGAAAATTTTAACAAACAACGAGTAGTGTACAGAACGAGAAGAAAACGCACTTCTGCATAAGATACAATATATCTGCAGCTTTTTCCTGCTGTGCACTGATGACGCTGTTCTTCAGTTTCCCATAAAGTTGAGCAGTAACAACATAGCTAAACTTAAGCTCCGCCTGAGCTCTTGCATTTCGCACAAGAGATCCTCTTGGCGTACGAGGTGTTTCCACACCGATTGTTGCAAGCTCATTACCTTGGACAATATGTCCTTCCTCTTCGTCTTCTACCAAAAATAAAGATGTGCTTGTCAGATATCTCTGCTGCATGATAAAGGACGTTGAAGTAGTACAAACAGTATTATTGGGGAAAGTAAGAATATTGAAGAAAGACTAGCTGGTTACCTTCCACGAGTAGTTTCAGTTGACCATTACAGATCAGAAACTATCCTCCTAATGCATTTCACACAAAAATGGTGCAGGACTTCGTGTGTAGTTTTTGTGTCATAATGATGAATTAAAGGAATTCCATGTTTGTGCGGTAGTGATACTACATTAGGCTTCAAGTACTGAACTTGATGTGATGATCAGATCGACATGAAGAATATTTTCATCTCCTTATGAGGACAAAACGAACAAGCTCTTATGTTATGCCTACAAATCGGTAAAAAATAACCACCTGTCATAGAAGCTCCTTCTTGTTGTGCTTGCAGTAAAAGAGCCCTTTTATAGTACATCATTCCACGAACTGCAAAAAAATTCTATAATACTAAGAATTGTATCCATAATTATTAGCACTTACCAAAAACGATGAACATATGTATAACAGACAAGCGTACCAGTTCAAGCACCTAAAATAAGATTACTACGATGCTTAATGATCAGATACTTGGCTAACAGAAAACGAGGCAATCAACATGAACAGTGCCATTAACTCAAAAACAAGAAATGTGACAGTACACATGTAAATCAACACAGCACAGATCATAAGTCGAGATGAAGAGATCTCTAGTCTTAATTTCGGCTCTGACTACAAGATTTACTAAAGATCAAAGAGTACTGCAATTTAAATATGATAATATCTCTATCACAATCACAAATGATCAACACAACACTATAAATGAACAAACAGACAACAATAGAGAAAATCTGAAGCCAGAAAGAATCCTAAACGTAGCGCCGATCCAGAACGTTCATATCTCAAAACCAAGCAAAGAGGCAACGTCACACCTGTTCGTGCAAGGGTCTGCCCTCGATATGAAGCCCACAGGCGTAGTTCTAGAATTTTATCGCCAATGATATCCGCATCGCTTAGTGTATTCAGCTGATTGTATTCCACATTAGGAAATATCCTCTCAAGGAAGTTTATCCACTCGTCTGCATTTGCATGGCTTATCTTGTTAAAAGGGAATTTGATAAAGGGGAAAGATAACGTTGGTCTCCTTGCCCCCTAAGTAGTTACTATCAATTCAAATAGATGCTTCCACATTGAAATATTTGAGATGACTCCACAAACCTGGAACAATAGTTTGCAGGTAGTATAGTATGGTGATGCCATCAACATTTGCATTTTCAAGTTGAGCCTTAGAGTACATTACATCTTCTTCGAAATATGGCGTAAACACACTAAAAAACAAAATCAACAGACCAGGAGTTGCCTTCAGTATGCGGCTGAGTTTCAAAATCAGAAAAGACATGATAAGAAAGAAATTCAGAATAAAAAACAATATTTTACACCACATAGCAACAGCAAACAAAGACTTTACAGCAGTAATATCTTACAACAGAGCAGATCGACATTTAAAATTGACTAGAGATGGGGACAGAACGGGCCTGAAGGAAATCATTTTACGAACGAGCGGTGACTGAGGCATTGACATAAACAGGGAGTTGCTGAAGAACTGCAACCGTCGACGAGCTTCTAAATTTACTGGAACATTCAAAGCCGAATCCTTGATAGATAAAATATAATGCAGTCGTCTCACTCGTTCTTTCTGAACAAGACACGATTGAAAGACACGTTACCTTAAAAACCAATATACAGAAAAACTGAATGAATCCAGTGAGGGGCTTCCAAGTTCTGTGAAGAACCTTATCAAATGGCAGGAGCTGTCACAACTGTTAGATGTACAAAAATAAAGAATCCAGAGAGGGTAAAACGAAAAAGTAATATTCACAATAGAAAGTACTTACAGCTGGGCCTGTGGGCCAGTTCAATTTATTGAACAGAACGCCATTCAATTTCGAGTTTTGCAAAGTGGTATCAGCTTCATATATGGTCCTGGAGAATATCATACAGGGAGAAATATAAGTTCGTACACTTGCTTTACACCTAAACAAAGAAAATTAGGTTAATTCATAATCAAATGAATCAAAAAGCTTGACAACCCCAAAAAAGTCGGAGATGGTCAAATAGAATTTATTAGTCAAGCCAATTTACACAAAGATATTAGTGAGGATGACAAATGGAAAGACCATTCGGATATCGTCCTCACAAGCTCAAAATATCATAGAATTGTCCAAAACATATCAGAAATTACTGCAGCCCGAACCGGTGTAACATCTGAAAGATACAACAACCCAAAATACAACCGTCCAATACTTCAAATCTACGATATCTCTATTGAATGCTAGGTTATAAGGTACAGGTGAAGATAAATCAAGACGCAGCAGAGGTGAAAAGGATATTTTTTTTATATCCCACCAGACCAGAATATGGTGAAATGTGAAACTCATTATTTTATAACATAGCATTCAACTTGCAAGACAGAACTTGAAAGTTCGCCCCTTTCTAGAATTAGAAACGAGAGTGATGGAAAAGACAATTATAAGCTAAGATAAATCAAGAATCCCAAACAACAAACCTTAGTCCTGGGTCCACAACAAAATCTCGCATTACGTCCTCATACAAGTCTACTAATGCCCGAGCTGCACTGTAATGCAACTTCGATTCTTCTTCCTGCTTCCCATTCTCATCATCTACTTTTGTCTCCGTGACCTGCACCATCGCAATTTGGAGATTCAAAGAAGAGAACAATCAACACCCAACTTCCAAACAATGTGCCAAGGGTTATTTCATTTACTCTTGAGGATTTTAGAAAATATACCAGAATATTTGTCAACTTTGCCATCCTGATCAGGAGATTGCCAAGCTCCCCAAAATTGAACTTACTCAGCAAACAAGATGCTTCAATAGCATTATCAATGTCTTGATATATGTTTCTGACCCTATTCAAGCCAACGTAACATTTGTAAGGTGGTAGATTAAACAAGCTCCACATTCCAAAACGTTAACATAAAATTCATAATACAATCATGAGTCTTTCATGTCCTTTCCATGTAACGTTTCGTAAGAAAGCCACCCAGGAAGCAAGGAATTGCCCAATATAAGTCCACAAGAAGCTCAAATTTGATTTAGAGTTCCGTAGAACGCCACAAAACACTGTAATTAGTCTATCCTCTCTTCACATTCAAACGGAAGGTTGTCTGCAGTCTTATGTAAACGACTGGTTCAGTTCAAAAACGTCACCACAATTAAGTTTTCAAACCAAGACTTCGTAAATAGTATAAAATGGTAACCCATGTAAGTACAAGACAAATCCTACCACCCACGGCCATCTTCATTTAATAGGTCCCACAAGACAGTTTGTGAAGACTCATATGCCTCTCGAACAGAAAATTCCAAATACGGATCGCGCTTGATTTTATCCCAAAGCTCATCTTGGAAAGCCTGCCTGTTGTCATGTACGATGTCCAATGCATCATATACCTGCGAATCCAGTAAAACGATGAGATTAAAGCATTACTCCTCAAATGCTATGGCGAAGTAAAACAGAATTTACTTTAACTTCAAGGAGGCAGAGTCCGCATGCTTTATTGAGCGTTTAAACTCTCTTAGCAGTTGATGGCTATCATAAAGTGCACTTATGTGAATGGTCAATCGTGTTTGAATAACATCAAATCTTCCAGGTTGCGGTTATGAAACTAAGCCGAGGTAATGTATAAACACTAACCTTATTGGCAAGTAGGAATAATGGCCACTGAACTAACGTCGTCTGTTGCCCCAACGAAGTAGAAGTGATTTTGTTGTCAGGCATCATTAACCAATCTTTTTCGCTAGAAGAAAACGATCCCGCAGAAACATCATAAAGAGGATGCACAACAAATCAACTCTTAGAACAAAGAGAAATAAACAGAACATAAAATCATTAGATATTTTCTTCCCATGGAATATATGTCAATACCATACAACAACTCCAAGAGCAGTAACAATGCCCAGAAATCTACAGAAAACAACAGGTCAATATTTGAAACAGAACTCGTAGCTGTCAGTGATATTGTAATTTCTCAACTTGCGGAGCTAAGCAAAGAATTTTACGCATTCGATCAACACGTAGAAAAATTATGAATAGGTGGTAGCTAAGACGGTGGGCAGATATTATGACAGTGCTAATGGCAGAAGACCTAAGGTCCTTACCGGTTGTTGATGAGGTCTTCCTCGCGCAGGGAGGAAATGACTTCATTCCAGAGTGGAGCAAATCGAATGGCATCAACTTTTGGATTCCCAGGCTGAAGGTCCACAGACAAGTAACACGTTCAGTAAAACTACGCGATGTAACATCCGACTAAACTGTAACCATTGGAGAGAGAACCACAATTAAAATATTAGCAAAGATAATAAGTTAGATTATCACGAGAACTATTCCACAAGATTGCATCATGTAAAAAATATGCAAGCCGCCTAGTTACGTGGTAGAGAAGTTGGCCATGGCACCTTGACTGAACTTAGAGGCACATTCACGTCCCTGCAAAGAGCAAAAACAGGATAAGAGAGATCAAATCACTAGCATCGAGAAATAAAATTTGTGAGTGAAAAGAGTCGTTAATCAAAGTGGGAATAGAAGAGGGGAAAAAAAAAAAAGTACGATTGTGTTTACATTTGCGACTGGGCACCACTTCTGGAGGGAAATAGATTGTTGACAAATGCTCCCGGTAAAGAAGAAAAACGTGACCGCAACATATCAAGAGACCGAATCTGCCATGTGTATAAACAATCAAAAACCGAAAGAAACCACAATCGAAGACTAAAGAGCAAGTGCATTAAGCTAGTGAAGAAACGAAAGACAATCTTGTCAACTTCTTAATAACACAAAGTGCACACTGAAATAAGAGTTCAAGTTGGAAGAAACCTCTCCAAGATGCATCCTGGCACCATCTAATCCTCCAACTAAAGCAGAGATTACTATATACCATACTTGTGTATCCAGGAAGTAAATCTGAAACCAAACATTTTCATCAACAACTTGCTTGATTGGTGCTTCAAGTGAAGCTCAAATGTATATGAGAAGGATTCGTTGAGATAGAATGACTAAATATAGAGGGGAAAAAAGTCCTGATGTGATGTACGGTTCAACGTCTGCAGTAAAAAGACAAAGGGCTGGTTCACAAAAGTACAAAAAGATTGCGGGTGAGACTCGATACCATAACAACAGGAGCCCACATGGCCACCAACGTAAGGGCATTATAATTACCTATAAAGATACAACACGAATAATATTATCTATCTTTGTACCGCTTGAAATCAGACTCTTTTCAATTTGACAAGTGACACAAGAATCGCAGTTTATCACCATAATTAGATGATCAGATTCTAGAGGGGGGCTTCATCAAAAATAACATTACTCCTCATAACCGCACATACAAGGCTGAAAGGATAGTACTTTGTGAAATGAGGTCTCTCCATCGATAGTTGAAGTTTTTAATACTGATAACAGTTCTTGTCGGGCCTACCATAGGTTGAATCTGAACTCTTCAAACCACAAACGTAAGGAACATACTAACAAGTTTGTTTGAAATCCAAGATACTAATGAAATTGTAAAGTAGCATCAGTAAAAATAATCGTAAAAAATTCTTCCAAGAAAATAAATGAAATATGATATGTCAGATGAGTACACCTGTAAGAAGTAGCTGAAGGCGAACTTGCAAGTTCCAACAATAAACCAGAAAAAAGTGTAACTGCAGAAACCGGCGATGGAACCAGCGATTCAAGGTTTGGCTAGCTGTGAAGCGCAACTTTCACTTACCAGTGTATATCAAATAACCACTTGTATGCAGTATCATAGAATCGATTTGAATTGATAATTTGTGAAAGAAATGTTTATAAATTAGTTAGTTTCAATTTAGAAGTAACAATCTAAATTCACGACATTGCAATACCAGCAAAGCTTACGTGAAGTAATCACGAGTTCTCTCGTACATATTACGTCCCACGTAGTACCTCTCCTGAACATAGCGTATCCACAACAAAAAAAACTACGTAAAAGAAATTACAGAAAAAAATTAAATTAACGACGCTAATTTCTATCAATGAAATCATGACGACTTTGCATGTAAAAGCAGAGATTTACCACAGAAACTTGGTGGATCTTCTATCAACGGAGACTACTGCATTAAAAACTCGATGTGCATATCCTATAAAATGTACAACTAAAAATCCAGAAGTACCTGATGTACCCATCCAATAAACTGGACAACATAAAAATTTGAACACTTCTCTGCTTGCATTCGAAACCAGGGAACACGTAGTAGCAAAGCGAATATGAACTGAAGTCCACCACAAATGCCCATCACTAAATAAAAGGCCTTGAACCAGGTGTCACGTCCTGTTCCACTGTTCTCTTCCTCAATTGTCTTCCTGCAACCAGGAAAAGCATCTACGGTTACAATCATATTTTCTACGAGGGGCTTCATCTATGCCTATACCATACCGTAATGCTGAATAAGCCATAAAGTACTAAAAAGCGCCACAATCACGCAGTAACTGTATAATGCTATGAAAAATAAATATTCTGAATTCAAATCTACAACTCACTTCCAAAATATGTGCAGGAGACTCACACGTATAGCAGGACTACGATCCCTGAGAGGACAGTGAACCACAAGAAACGAATCAACATCCTCGAGATATTTCCCGCTCGAGTGCTTCGATAAGCTCCAATCATCAAAGTAACATCCATCAGAGCTGTACACGAAACCAAAATCAGTGTATTCGACTCTAGGAAAAGTAGCAATTTTGCTTCAAGAATAGTTAACCAACCAAACATTGAAAACTTAAGAATAAGGGTCACCCAAAGTATCTCGCTGAGATATGGCTATTCATTTTAACGAATCTACTATTTCTAAGCTGTAAACTACCTTGATTCACATAACCATGTACTTCTGATACATTGTAAAGAATGAAACTTACATTGTAAGAGCTTCATAAGTACGAAAGTAGGGCCAACACTCATCACTAACTTCAGAGTCCGAACAGTGAATCTCCGGTCACAAAAAGCAACGATACCCAGTCCCTACATTACAAGAACACAGGACATCAGCGCAAACAGCTCCATCTACGGTGGGGTAGAACATTGGTTCAAAGCTACTTGGCAGAGACAGCGCACAATACATATTGCACTGCCATCAAGCGAACGAACACGATGCAGTAACTTTAACTTTGACTTTAACTTTGAAGGAATTGCACGAATTAACAAGGTGCACAGCAATTGATCACTCAAATGATAAAAGTTGGAACTGGTATTAGGCTGAGATGTAGTTATTAATCAAGGAAGAAAGGTCCTAAAGAACAGTGACTTTACCTGAAGCATGCACACAAGAAAGATCCAAAGTCGATGAAAGCTATGGTAAATATGAAAACCAGTTCGATGTTCAACAAAATGAGTTTTCCAAGCTTTTTTTTCCCGCCGTTCACTCAACATAAGTGGTTCTTCTGGTTCGTCCGGTATTTGCTCCTGCAACTGACTTTGAATGATGAGGTTCCATATTTCATACTCGCACAAGAAAAATCAAAAGAGCAAAAGCAAAAAGAAATAAAACGAAAAATAAAGAGAGAAACAAAGAAAGATAAGAAAAGAGAAAAACTTATGTTTCAATAAATCTCATAAAAGCTTATAAAGACACAAAGACACTTCCTCCACCTTGTGCTTATGAATAAAACCATATGCAACTTCTTACTCGTAATGAACATCATCAAGTTAATGTTCAGAGTTTCAAACATTTTTTAACACCGGTCAGCATAATCAAAGACTTGAGGACATCATTTCTAAAGCGTCCTTACATAGCGCATGGAACATGAACGATGCCAGCTCAGTTGCATTAAAGACCATAAACAAACTGTTACAAAGGTAGTCCCGATGGCGCACGAACTTACGTATCTGTCGGCTTCTGAGTAAATTATTTGCTTGGGCTTTTTAAAGAAACCTGCCTCAAGTCTCCAAGGCCAGGACAGCTCAAAGCAGGACGGCGCCCTGTTCGTAGAACATAAAAGAGCAGGATTTTGATATTTGTACAAACCAAACAAAAGTGAATTCAGAAACATTTTACGATGGCTATTTACAAACCAGCAATTTAAAAATTCCACAAGCGGCTGATATTCTGACATGAATTGACGTATTTCAGAGTGGAACTTCAGTAGAGTTGGAATACGATTCCGGATATATACAATACAGCGTACGCTTAGGAGACGGACAATCAGTAAGATCCTTGATAAGGAAAATTTACTCACCAGAAAAACTCATTAAAGTCGTCATAGTTTCTCCAGGCTGAATGCGGAGCTTTTCCACCAGCACATATTTTGGCCTCCTGAAGCCGGTAAAAGTCCACAATTTTACTAAAAATTACTTCGGAATATATTAAGATTCACTAAAAACCCAGAATGCCATTACAACTTACCAAAGTTGCTTCATTACAGGTGAAATCTCGGCTTTTACAACGACGCGATTCGTTAAGATTAAGGGCAGAGAAAGCTAGCTAACACCATGCAAATTCATTTCATCACTTAATAATGACAGAAGTGCACATAAACAGAGCGCGTTTATCCTGATAATTACAGTTACATCATTTAGAAAGATTCTACAATCCAGCAACGATTAGAAACCGCAGAGGCAACCCGGCAGCAAAGTAATGCTTGACAGATATGCAAAAATAGTACCCAAACAGTGTTTCAAAATCTTACCGCAGCTACAATATCATATACAGGCTTGATGATCTTGTCCAAGAAAGAGTGAGATGAACCAGGAATGAATGTTCGTGATCTCTTCACTACAGGCTCATCGAGCAGGTCGTACATTTCGTCAGCCATCTGTACACAAGTCATAGGTATCAAATTTAGGTCCAAGATTGTCTATTCATTTAAACCAGTATATCTGGACTAACAATGGTTACACATCGACGAAACGTTCTTTTGTTAAAATGAATGGGTGGCAGATACGCCAATTCAAATTCATGTTTGTCGATAAGTAGCTCTCTCCACGCTAACAATACTCAATCAAATATGGCAGCTATCAACGAGCTGAAATGCGTCCAACATGCAAATGAACATGGATTCCTCCACAAGTCAAAATCTTTTGGCATCTTTTAATTCTATGCAATGTTTACTTGAAGAACAAGGATAGATGAGATTGAAACTGCGCTAGAACAAAAAAAGAAACAAGAAAAAGAAAAAACTAAAAACTAAAAACTAAAACCACATTGTCAGGTAAGACGCTTCTTACATGATGGAAGATGTAACACAGACACTCTGGTAAGAACCGTAAGTTAGCAGCTTCTCCCCAGATAAGTAAATAAAGAGCAGTCAGGAATAACCTTAATTGCATCGAGTAGGCACTGCATAACACATGTGGAATACGTTACAATTCAAATTCATTATTACATATCACGATCAACTTAGATCTAATTGATTGTAGAACATAATAACAACCAATACAAACCATTTGCAATATAGACCATGGAAGAGTTTTATGACTCGAACTCTAAAAATAATTGAAGAGCAATGAGAACATAAAATATAGAGTCATTAAACCAAGATTATCAAATCATTCGAGGGCAACAGTGGAGATAAAAACGAACAAAGTCTAAATATGCAAGAAGCAGACATTTGGCTGGTATCATATTGTCCTAGGCCTTGAATTGAACAGAGGAAATGCATTATTCAAGAACGGGTATACTTTGATAGAGTGCAGGGACTATACCGCATTGCCATGGACTCTTTTTTTATAAACTTGCACCACCGCTCATAATTGCTCATCATGCTGAGATGTACGTGATTTATGGCTCCATCATCCAGCTACCAAACAAATACAACAATAAACAATAACCTCAATTCCGATTTAGTATGCAAGCTCAGGTGCTGCTGATGACAAATGCTAAAATGACATCTACATGGCAAAATACTACAGTATTATCTAACAAGAAACCCCCACAAACTTTCGTTCATACCTTTGATGCACGCACACTAGAACGAAGAACTCAATCATAGGCCTTGCTGGTATCGAGATACCGAGACCATTCAATGACTCGCGCAAATCAACGAGTTCATAGACACCGAAGTCCTCTTACATCAGGGTCCTTAAAAGATCTAGGGTCCGAGAATCAGAACAGAATTTAAAATATAAGTGTTTCAACGATACGACAAATAGTGTTCATAACCTATCTGGCTGATGTCAGTTTTCTCGCTTTCCAGATCACAGACGTTAAGTAAAATTGTAATAATCACCTGAACTATATGGTCTTTACAGTACTTTAAAGTTGGCATTGTTGTAGCCTTTTTATGTCTAAGAACTCAACATTCAAATGTGAGGTTTTCCATTACTGAACGTTTAATGGCACATCTCGGGAAAACAGAACTGATAGACAACCATTTTAACCCACCTTGGCTTCCATATCAACCAGCACACCCAACCGCGATTGTGAGTTGGACAACAACAAAATCAAGTGCTCTCTTTGATTTGCTGCGTTGTCTGTCTGCAACCACCGTCAACCCACACCTCCTTGGCATTTAAAGGTGAAAATGAAAAAGACGAAAATGAAATTTAACAAAAACAAAACAAGACAAATAAGTAAACAAACAAAAACAAAAACAAAATATAAAAATACAAGCACACGATTGCAAGAAGCAACATTAATGCTGCCTGGACCGACACAATCTTACGAATTCATTCGATTCCTCCGATTCTGAAGCGTCTAAATCACATTCGCACCGTTTCAAAAGATAAAAAGTATGATTTCGAAATCATATATAACATGACAGGTTCACAGCGTCTTAAGATATAAACCTGGAAGCCAAACGCATACTGTAAAAAATCGAAGATGTCTAGTGCCCTGTCCGATGGCCTCTCAAAATTTTCCTCCGGAAAAGAAGGCAACTCTGACGTCGAACTGTTGTACTCAAGTGCTCTCTTAGCCCCAACCATCTATGCTCAAAGAAAACTTCGTTAAAACGACAAGCAGCTACTACAGCACCCTAAATTGAAGATTCGAAATAATTTGACAACACAAATCGTAGTAAAACGTAAACAAAACGTGGAGTGCTAAGCCAATGTAGTGGACAATCAACAAGGGTGAATTGAAATAAAAAGAGAAACATTATCGAAAAAGATTCAATAATATACAATATTGAATCATTTCTCTACCTCTGGAAAATTATGGAAGACATTGGCAACGCCAGGGGTCTCAAGTGGTAAGATGTTGTAGGCCTTGAAACCTTTAACCTTCTGTGCATCTTCTTCCATTATCCTTTTCAACTGATAAAAGTCTCGGGTGTTGGACACATGCAGAAACATCATTAGATCATGAAGGTCATCATAATCACAATTAACAAGGTTTTCCCCGTATAAGTAACAATTCTACCACAACGTCAAAAATATACTCTAAATTTACGAACCGATGTGGGGCTAACTACCCCAGTCCCAATAAAAGTTAACAACGAGTAAACCTCCGCATTGAGTTTACGATCATCCATTTATGAAGCATATGCTTATTTTTAGGTAACCAGATTGGCAAATGCATTTTCTTTTTCATAAAACCCACAGACGCTTCGCAAGAACTTACCTCTGGATTAAAATTTTCGACTCTATCATCATGCTTCATAAGGGCATCAATGACTTCGTTGAGAATTCTAGCCGTAAGATATACTTTCCTTATAACCTCACCCCGTTGCTCAGTTCTGCACAACAAAATACAAATCAACAACCATTAAGTACATCTCAATGTAATAGATACAAATACACACTGACTAACCGGTGGTATAAATTTTCATACAGGACACGCACGTTGTTGAGTCCTCGTCATAGGAATCACTTTGCTTAAACCTCCTGTCCTCGTCCTCTAGTTGGTCAAGATGATTCCTCTCTCTGTATCTCCTGTAGAAATCTTGTAATATGGAGACATCATGGCTTCGATCAATCCTCTCTACTCCTTTTTTTGAGCGCTTTTGCTGCAGCGAACACATATTCCATAAAACCAGGAAGTATGTTCATCAGCCTAGATGCACCAGAACCTTATAAGAATGAAGTTGGATTGAGAGAAAACAGGATGTGATCATGGAGTATCTATCCCCTGGTAATATGAGCTTAAAGTTTTAGGTCAAAGAGCACCTTAATGACGGACAACAAACCCGTCTTGAATTGCAAAACGCCTCTGCCTTCACTATTCGGATCCAGATCTTGTGCCAGCGTGTACGCGTACTCGCACACTGCTCGAATTTCAAATTTTAAACGCGTAGAAACCATTAGCTTTTGGTTAATTGGGTGAAGAAGAACATTCATTCGACCGCAGGCAGAAAGTGAAAGGGTGCGTTGGTCGAAAATCAGCGTGCCACTCTACTTACGAAACGAATTCAAGCTACAATCTATCAATTTCATACGCTGTATTGGGCAGTCTTCTTGCCAGTGTTTGTTCCTCAATTTGGTTCATTTAGTACGCTCTCTCTCGAATCGGAATTAATAAGACAAATTAATCATCACATTTTATTTGCCACATCTTACTGAACTTCGATGATTCTAAAAGCCTCCTTTCATTTATCACAACAACCAGTATGAACTTGCACCTACAGATTCGTCCAACATCTCGATTATCCTTTGCAAGCTCATCAGCAGCCTGCAAAATGGAGCTGATATTCGCTTGCTGATGCAAGCTTTGAGGCACAGTAGTATTAGAGGCCGCTCCCGCTTGAGGCACCAGTACGGCTCTCCGATCCGCTTCCATCTTCGCCCTATAAACTAGAGTCTCCCATCGGTTGAGTATTCTTTTGGAGATCCGCTGGGGCTCTCGCGATCGCGTCGACATAGCGAAGGCTATTTACTTCAAATTTTCCGTGACATGTGCAGAATCCAGCTAATGTCTGCACGAGAACCATGAATCTGAGTAAGACTATGACAGTAGCATCGAACTGGTCACATAGAGCGACCTGGACAAGCCATAAGCGAAAATCCGATACGATTAACGCCAAGGTACGAACTCCAAAGAACTTTGCTCGGCATATTGCCACCACATTCAAAATTAATTCGACCATCGAAACAAACATAGGCATTCATCAGAAACCTGGTGCGAATTTATTTTGATTCGTTGCCAAATATTCTAGATAGCGTGTTGAGGATACTGGTGACGGAGGGTAACAGATTACAAGCACTGGAAAGAAAATCGATTTTCTGACTACTGAAAGTGTATGAAATGAGAATAATTCTCTCTGGTAGAACCACGAAAATACGAATTTAATCAGGCAACAATATGATTCAACCATTCAATGACCACATAGTACAGAAACTGATCGATCGATTCAGCGGTGAACACAAACAACTAACCGCAGATAATCTAGAGCGAGATTAGCGGGGAATTGAAAGCTCCATTCCAGCACAGGCACCTCCACTAGAAAAAACCAAAACTCAACAGAAAAAGGAATGATTCGGAAGCAGTTCCGAGAAAAAGGGGAACCAAAGCCAGTCAACACATGACAAAACTGCGCAAGACTGAACGACGGAGAGGCAAAATGAGACGAGCGAGAAAGCGCGGGTAGGGAGACATACACGGGAGGCCGAGGCGAGCACACCGCGCGCATTGACAGAAGCGGCGATGGCAATGTGGGAGCTTGAGGGAATTGCATCACCATGAAAAAAGAGGAATGCGCCTCGTCGCAGAGTGTGTTTCTCCCTCCTCGCACACACAAACAAGCCTCCGCTTTTGTCCTCACAGTCCCTTTCGTTCCTCTGTGCGAGCTACCACGCTCTGGGAACGGTTCCCAATTTCAAACGTCGTTCTCCTTGTGCGCATCCGTTCCCTGGGGTTGTTCCCCAGGCCCTGCAAGGATGGGGGGACCCATTCGGCGGAGAAGGGTCTGTGTCAGCGTGCTGCCTGCTTGCCCCCTGAACTGGCCCGTTCCCGTGCACGCTTCAACCGGCATTTGAATTGCTTTGAATCCGTGTATTTTGCATCGTATTGTATCTGTATCAATTACAGTCCCTTCATTCTACTCTTTAGTGCCACGGCCTCTGTTCAGTAAAGAAAGTATGAGTAACTAAATTATGGCACATTTATTCACTTCACAAAATTATACCGGTAATACGAAATCCAATAACTAAAACCTCCCTGAAAAATATCTATAAAGACTTTTGTCTTTCCCCCATATCAATGGAAAGTCACAAAACTTTAGGTGTTCACCACTGTTTTTTTATTGTTATTGTTACACACACGCACATGTGTATGTATGTACAAGGTTTTTTCCTTTTTTTCCCGTTTTAGTGTTGAAAAGTTGCTACTTAAATAAGTTTAGTTCCTGATTATACATTAGGTTTCAGAAATTATTCAAAGATTGTTTCTTCACTTAACTCTCTAAAATAAGGCATGGACATTAATATCTATTCAAAATGTAAATGTTTTGAGTAGCTTTACACGAAGCATCAAAACACATGCATTCAATCTGTTACTTTAAGATACATTACGATTCATACTTTATACACACACACACACTTTATTGATACTGAATTGAATTAAATGAACAAGTTGTTTGAATTTGTTACGGCACCAGTTTGAATAATACCCTTCTTTCGATCAAAATTATATTAGAATGCAATACAATTTTTTATAGTAAACACGTATTGTTAAATAAAATACATAAAATACATAAAATAATAATAATATCCATTAATAATAACAGGTGTATATAATATGCAATTATAAAAAGGCGATTTTGACCATTTTTTTTTTCTCAACAACATAATAGTAAAAAGGCAAAAATCAAATAACAATGTTATGATGCAATTACTCCACTGTGCAACCAAGGTTACTAATTTTATTACTTTTACATTTACTTTATTTCATCAAGCTATGCATTTAGTTGTGGTTGTTTGGTGATGTGTGCAACATTGATGATGAAGTTGTCAAACTCTTAAAATAATTTAGTGATATTGCCACACAAAGTGTTACAACGAAATAAGTGTCTAATGATCTGAGTTAATTTTTTTGAAAAGAGAAAATACTACTTTGATACTAGGTCTATTTCTGAAAATTGTGTAGTTTGGAAGCCTGTTAAATAAAATTAATTAATGGTTTGTGTTTAGTGACTTGTCTGTTCCACCAAGCTGGTCAGCTGAAATGGCCTGCTCCCTGTCCCCCAACTGTTCGATCCATGACCTGCAGCTTTGCTCGGTCATGTCAACTGCATTCGCAGTGCCAGAGCTCTCACTGATCTCATTAGTATTTTCTCATTCTTTGCAGATATTGATTCCAGTGTGGCAGGTTTTGTCGTTCGTAGGCGTGTGTGTGTCGAGCTCAGACTGTTTCAAAGCGTGGAATAGGTTTTCGGCGCAAGGAGGTGGGGCTCTGGCGGAATCCGGGGTGGATTTGGAATTAGGGGTCCGTGTCTGCCGCATTGGATTTCGTCTCGCACGCTGTGCTGGCTCTGGGATTTTGGGTTAGTAATTAGGTCGTGAAGTGGCGTAAGCAATCCGTCGGCACCATGTGGGGGAGAAGTGGGCAGGACAAGCTTATGGACCAGATCTTTCAATTGAAGTTTACGTCGAAGAGCCTAGTGCGGGCGGCTAAGAAATGTGAGAAGGATGAGAAGAGCGAGAAATTGAAAGTGAAGAAAGCGATAGAGAAGGGCAACATGGATGGTGCCCGGATTTATGCCCAAAACGCCATCAGGAAGCACAACGAACAGCTCAATTATTTGCGACTCTCTTCCCGGCTCGATGCCGTTGTTGCCCAACTCGGAACGCAAAGTAAGTTGCAGACCGTGGCCAAATCCATGGCCGGGATTGTGAAGTCACTCGATAGTGCTCTCGCTGTTGGCAATATGGAGAAGATTTCTCAAACGATGGACCAGTTTGAGAAAACTTTTATGAATATGGAGGTGCAATCTGAGTTTATTGAAACCGCCATGGCCGGTAGCACGAGCTTGTCGACCCCCGAAGACGATGTGAACTCTCTTCTACACCAAGTCGCTGACGACTACGGTCTCGAGGTTTCTGTCAATCTTCCACAGGCAGGTGCGACGGCCATACCCGTCAAGGAGACCCCAACGGTAAATGTTGAAGATGATTTGAGCCGAAGGTTGGCAGAGCTCAAAAGTAGGGGTTAACATGCTTCAGTTATCTCTCTCTCTCTCCATCTCGCTCTCGCTCTTAGTTAATACAAATGCGAGATGCTCATTCGATTACAAATCGTGATATCTTTCCTTTATTTCCACGCGTTCCAGGTTTGATTATGATTTGAATAGAAATTTAGAGTCGTGAAGCTGATTTCAATCAATAGATTATGTCGCTGAGAAAGATGCTCATTTGCAGGGCCAGTTACATTCTGGTCCTTCTAAGGTCAAGAGTTTTGGTCGAGCTTGGATGGTTGCAGAGATACTGATCGAGGAAGAGGCTATTGGGTCCATGATTCAGCCCGGACTTTGTATAATGTATCAGCTTAGATCAAAAGGTTTACTGTAATATGCTGATCCCTAAAAACTAATTTGATTAGTTTGGTTTCAAATTTATGTTTATTCTCGACGACGAGCCGTTGGTGCAGTCTGCTATTTTCCTTACTCCGTGAAGCACATTGTGAATGGCTTGATGAAGCATTGGTGCATTTTTCGTGTAGGATCTTCTGCTTAGTGATCAGGTAGCATGAGTTGGTTAGTCATAATTTAATCTGTACACGTGATGAGGGTTACACTACAGTATTGCCGTCGTGAGTTGTCGGTATCTAGCATTCTGTGATGATCTGAATGCTTGGAAAACGGAATTAGAATTACCTTCACATCTGTGCCATCGATTTTCCAATGGTGATGCAATGGCTTTCGTGACAACTGATCTTTTATGGATTGCAGCCAATACGCACCCTCACATTCTCAGGCGGGAAAAGAGTAAGCACGTCAATGGAATAGTGGGTAATGCTGATCTTGAAGTGCTGAATTCTAGTGTCCGATTCCTGTTTCCTCTCTGCTACAGGTATTCATTGACCGTTAAGCAGTCTAGACCGGCTTAGGTGCTACAATTTTAGCTTTGACTAAAAGCCGGTGCTGTTGATTTCTAAGACGGTAAAATTATTTCGTAAAAGGATGAATTCTATAATAAGGCGGTGACACTGCACGTTACAGTTTTCTATTCTGAACATTACGTATTACATTCAACGCCACAAGCATTACGAGGTTGTAGAAGATCTCAGGTATACATAAAGTAGAATACTAATTCATCTGTTGGAAAAGCCAATCTCTTAGAACCTTACAGCGAGCGTGCGTCAGGGATCATTTCTTCAAGTATATAGTTGTTCAAATGTAAAAAACCATGAAGGTATTCTTGCATAATAGGTTAGTTTCGATGAAGGTTAAATTTTTGTTCAGGCTGAAGTAAAATAGCCAACTGAATTGTGTGTTTTAAATACAATATTTGTTTGTACAGAATCGGAAAAATTCAGTTATCCTTTTATAAAGCTTTAACAGGCATTAGTCTTTGTAAATTGTGTTTGTGTAGTGGTTTATTTTATTTGTTTATTTTAGCCATTTTGCATTTCAATGTGTTGTAGGCTCGTACACGTATTTGTGCATTGCAATTATTTAGGAATGATTGCAAGTTTCTGTAGAACCAGACTAATGTAATTACACTAATCATCCTGATTTGGTGCATGTTATATATTTTTTTAATATATAAAATGTTAAACACATGTACAGATATTTTATTTTTAAAATTAATGACTTTTGAAATTAATCTAATAGATAGAAAAAAGTATAATCCAAGATAAATTAATCTTGGATTTGGAATCATGTGAATCTGTGTAATGTTGATGAATATATGTATCATTAATGAATTATCTCAGGTTTTCTAATGTACAGTAGAGAGTGTCGAAAGCATTCTAAGGAGTTTAAAGACTTTGGAAACTTTGAATAACATGGTAGATTTTTTAAAAACATTGAAAAAAAATACAATGGTAATTAAAACTTGGAAATAGAAAAGAAGAAGAAAAAAGAGTGGACAACTGGCAGTAAGATAATAATGGAATACAATGGTTACAAAAAACAATGTAGAAATATGTAACATTTTTATTGGAAGTAATTGTTGCTTCTTAAATAAATACAAGGATACATAGTGATATTAAATGGCATGCTTAACATACAAAGCCAAAATAACATATATCTACAAAACTCATTTTAAAAAAATAAATAAATGTAATAATCTTAGCAACCAACATTAACAAAATAAAGGTATTCACAATGCAAACATTGTGAATTATTGATAAAAACACAATAATAACAACATCACAAGTTAGCAAATAAAATAAAACTTGTGGAAGATGAAATCGAATATGTTACATCTACACTAGGGACAATTATGTTTATTACGTTCTGCTATAATATAGATTTTTTGTGAAAGCATGGAGTGTAATGCTGATTTTCCATAAAATAATACCACTTACATAAATACTGTATTGTGAATTATTGATAAAAACACAATAATAACAACATCACAAGTTAGCAAATAAAATAAAGCACATATCATTAGAAAGCATAACATTGATACTTGATACTTGGTATTATTGTTATCATTGATAATTGGCATTAATACTAATATTTGATACTTGGTACTCTTCTTCATGCATTAACACTCCTACTTTTAACTTTTCTATACCGAACATGTCAAGACGTAAACAAGAATGAGAATTGTTACATTTTGTTTAAAAATATAACATTTTGCAATTTAATTTATATTCATTCCCACCTTGCATTTTATACTTAGAACATTTCTAAAAGTTAACCCCACTGAAAATATTTTCAAAACATTCAAGACAAATTTGGTATAATCTAGTTGTGTTTTCCATGTTTAGTAAAAGCGTCAGTGCACAGAAGCAAGGGCTGTGGTCGTTTGCCGAACGGCCACGGAAATTTATTTCCGTGAACCTCGTTGCCTGATGCCACGGAAGCATATTCCGAAGAGGACAAGTCCAGTTTCCCAAATATGCTTCTGAAAACTGCCCACGGTAATAGACGCCTTACCAAAATCGCGCGGCGGAACATGAAAGTTTAGGTGGTTTAGGGTAACTCGATTAGGGTTTGCGGGGGGTAAGGACTCGCGACTGCTAGTTGGACGTTCCTTCTATACCTCTGTTGTCTCGGCACAGCTCACGCACGAGCTCTCCGAGTGAGGTTTGAATGACCTCTACTCACGATTGACTGAATACCATTCAGGTGTTAGTCTCTCAAACCAACAGTTATCACTCCATCGCCTCAATTTCGCCTAGTCTTTGTGGAGCTGTACCGTCGCAAAGAGGGTCGCATTTTTAGGGGTGTTACTGTTGTTGTAGTTTTTATTCTCTTGGTACTGAACATTTCGGAGAACTTGGTCGTATAATTCCTCTTGTTTGGAGACCGGGCAAATTACCTTGAAACGAGGACTTGTGCTGTTGTGAAAGCGGAGCTGATAAGCCGACATTGTGGGTGTCTCGCCGAAGTGTTTTGTGGAAACAGAGATTTTGTCTTGAGAATTTACTTCGGTGAGAATGCCGGGACCTGTAGCTATGGAGAACGGCCAGTTGACTGTGGAGAATGGGAAGAAGAGTAAGAAGGTGAAGGTTACCGAGTCGGTGGGTGAGGAGATTGAGGTGACTGCGTCGCCGCCGCTGCCCGAGTCAGAGAAAAAGAAGAAAAAAAAAGAGAAGAAGGTGAGTTCGGACAGTGCGGAGGGGTCTGCTGAGGCGGAAAATGGTCACGCTGGAGAACCCGAAGTGGTGAAGGTTTCGAAGAAGAAGAGAGCCAAGTCTCCCGAGGATGACGGCGCTGCAGCTAAGAAGATCCAAAAAGTGGTAGAGAATGGCGGCAAAGAGGTTGGTGCTGCTGTCGACCCGATGGCGGTGTCGAATTTTAACATCGGGAAGGCGCTGCGGGACAAGTTGAAAGCTAAGGGCATTGAGTCGCTTTTCCCAATCCAGGCTCAGACCTTTGAAGCTGTCTTCGACGGGAATGACATGGTTGGTCGGGCACGTACAGGACAGGTACTGGTCCAACCACTCATTTCTTCTATACCCATATGTGGCTGATTGACGTTCTCTTTCAATTTCGTCTGTTAATTGTTTTTTGTCATGCTTATTTTTTCTCGCATAATACGACTCGGTGTGATTCTGGTTTTCATTTCGATGAATTAGGATACCTATTTTCTAGTACTGAACGAGTAAATTGGACTTTAGAGTAGTTCATGAAGTAATGTTACTACTTTTGTTTTATACCGCTGACTCCAGTAATTTATCATCTGGCTGTTAATTTTCATGCTTACTATATATTTATAGCTCAGTAAAGTTGAACGTCCTAGGAATGGTTACTGTTTCGTGACAAAACATTGCATTAAATGTGTGCCGGACATTGTTCTGTGAATTTCAGGGTAAAACCTTGGCATTTGTGCTACCCGTTTTAGAATCTTTGAGCCAGAGTGGCTACACTAAGAATCTCCAAAGAGGTCGTGCTGCAGCTGTCATCGTTCTTGCTCCAACCCGCGAACTCGCTAAACAAGTACGAACACTCTGACGTGAATCCCTTGCTGTATACATTGCCTTACAATCGGTTCAAGTAACCCCTTTCTGTCTTTGTTACTTTATATTGGCTTGGTTTCGAGTCTTTTCTACAACTCAGTTTGTGCTAAATATTATTCGTATCGTGTAGGTGCATGCGGACTTTGAGACTTATGGTAGCGCTGTCGGATTGAGCACCGTTTGTGTTTATGGTGGAGCACCTTATGGTCCTCAAGAGAACGCATTAAGGAGGGGTGTTGATATTGTGGTGGGCACACCAGGGAGGATCAAGGTATCTCACAGTTTTTTCGTCCTTTTCATCAGTGCCTAAGTAATGTCTTCTTAATGTTTGCAAATAACTGCATTCATTTTACATAGCATTTCGGCCTAGGCTGACACACTCTCAACTGCTGCAGGATCACTTCGAGAGGGGCACTTTGAACTTGAAATCTTTAAAGTTCCGCATTCTCGACGAAGCCGATGAGATGCTTAACATGGGATTTGTGGATGATGTGGAGACTATTCTTGGTATGTTTGTATAAAGTCTCAACTCTATTTCGTGGTTGGTAGATGCTAATGTCAGTTTTCTACTTTGAGTGTGTGCATGCGTGCACATGATTCTATATCTTGATTTAAAGACATCGATGCCTTTGCAGGCGGTGTTGATGATCCCTCAAAGGTGCAAACTCTACTGTTCAGTGCGACACTACCCACTTGGGTTCAACAGGTGTGGTCCTTCTCCTCTTCGCCATATTTTTTCTTTTGTAGTCTCACTCCTTTCTTACATGTTCGGTGGTCATTTACTAGAGATAGTTGTTATTTTTATGTCATACATTGTGTTAATGCCGACCTAGAATTCTTTTTGTCGCCTAGGTCATATATGCTAAATCTGTTCACCTTTACTTTGTATTTCAGATCGCTCGGAAGTTTTTGAAGGCTACAAGGAAAACTGTCGATCTAGTTGGTGACGAGAAAATGAAGGCTAGTAACAGTGTGAGACATTTATTACTTCCGGGCCACTATTCAATGCGAACCCAGCTTGTGCAAGATGTGATTAGCTGTTACGGCAGTGGAGGCCGCATTATCGTCTTTACAGAGACAAAGAACGACGCCTCAGAACTCGCAGGAGCTCTGAAGAGTGGTACTGCACGAGCTCTGCATGGTGATATTCCTCAGAATCAGCGAGAAGTTACCCTTCAAGGATTTCGCACAGGAAAGTTTAGTGTACTTGTTGCAACTGATGTTGCTGCCAGAGGGTTGGACATAAACGATGTGCAACTGGTGATTCAGGTATTTGATTCGTCTCATTCGATGACTGATTTTGCTTGCGTCTAACCTCACCTATTGGAGATTCAACACTGGCCGTTAAATCTATATGCTGTGTTTCTTCTGCAGTGTGAGCCTCCTCGTGACGCAGAAACCTACATTCACCGGTCTGGGCGTACGGGAAGAGCTGGAAATACTGGTGTTTCTGTGTTGTTTTTTGACCGGAAGAAAGAGTATATGGTTCCTCAGATCGAACGGAAGGCAGGATTTAAGTTTGAGCGAATTGCTGCCCCTCAACCCCTGGACATCGCCAAGGCTAGCGGCAACACGGCGACAGATAGCGTGCTCGCTGTATCTGATACTGTGGTGCCCTTATTTCGTCAAGCAGCTAAGGATCTTGTGGAGAGCAGTGGTTTGCCCATTCTGGACATCCTTGCCAAGGCCATTGCTAAAATTTCAGGTCAAACAGAGTTAAAGAGAAGATCTTTGCTTACTTCGCATGACGATTCTACCACCTTAATCCTCAAGGCAAATACATCAATGTATTCTCCTACATATGCATTCAATTGTCTACGAAAGTTCTTGCCTGAAACCATTATCAACGAAGTTAGGCGCATGAATCTTACTGTTGACGGGAAGGGAGCAGTGTTTGACGTTCCGTCGAAAAATGTGGACGAGTTTATAGCTGAACAAGAAGGTGAAAACTTCACAGTCGAAGTCTTGGACGCTTTACCTGAGTTGCAAGTGAAGCCTGACCGCAGTGGTGGTGAAGACCGAAGTTTTGGTGGAAGAGGTGGTAGAGGTGGAAGAGGCTTTGGAGGAAGGGGTGGTGGTTATGGTGGTAGTCGAGGTGGAAGCAGAGGTGGAGGTGGCGGTGGTCGTTTCAACCGTCGTTGATGACGTCTACTTCTGTTGGCCTTCATTAAGAGGCTCTGTAAGTTAAGCTAATGTTTCTACCTTCCGAACACCTGAGTAGTCCAGAGCTTCAACAAAGTATCACCACCATTTTCGCAGATGGGATCTTGTAGACTAGTGTCATTTAGGTGAAGGAGACGATTACATCAGGTGCTTGGATACGGCATTTGAGTTGTGGCAATTTCCAACCTAGCTCGTATCCGCTCAGTGTCTGCCAAGTGCATATCTATTGGCGAATTATTATTGGACATTGAATTGAATACAAATTGATGCAATAATGGAAGAGAATAGGCACGTTATCCTCTTTCTAGACTTTATCATGCCCCGACCAATTGATATAATTATTGATTTTTGGCACGAGTAATCTGGTTCTCTTTTGTCTGTGTAGTTGGCATTATTATGGTATTTTTAGTGCCTCAAATAAGTCGTGCAATTAACCTTTCACTTACAAATCATAGTCACGATTCACATGAATCAACGGAATTGATTTTATGAAAAGTATTACGGTTTGTATGTGACTCAAACATGGAAGGTAAAGCCTGGTCATACTAGTTTCATTAGAATCCACTAGTAGATGGGAACAATCAATCGGCGGTGGCCATGGAGGCCTACAAAATTGTACTGTATATCTAAGTAACGAATGTGAACAAAGCAATCAACATAGCTGCTGAAAAGATCATTGTAGTGACAAAAGTTGATTAGCACAGACGAGTGACTTAACTCAGTACGTTTGCGTCGATTTAAAAGCAGGAAATGAGAAGTGATTATCATTCATCAAAACATGTACACTTATTTCCATGCGTATTTTAATCACCACCTTTGTAAACAAATATAATTACATAGAAATTCAAAACCCTTAATTTATCTCAAAATGTGGAATATTGAGACATGAGCCTCTTATCCTCATTATGGAAATACTAGCTCATCTAATCTTTAACGCAGCTTCTCTTCAAGCATGAGCCAAGGCTTTGATCACATCTACCGGCAAAAATTCTGCCAACCGTCTTGAATGGTTCTCAAGCGTAGTTTATGCGGGTGTCGGCCAGTTACCAATCTCCAAACCATTCCCTGCAACCAATATTTGTCCTAGTTGCAGTTAGTTCGATTCTATTATAATATTGCCTCAAAATCGCTGTGGGAATTTTGAGCGTTTTAGTAGGGTAAATCGGGCAGAAGGCATACCCTCATTTTGTGATTGGGTGGGTCCCAGAAAATCAATCCCTCCTCATGCTAACAGAATCTAAATAGATGCATCATAGGTATATTGGGGTCTACTATCAGTAAATCTTCAAAGGAAACAACAGATGATTTCGAGTTCGGTTTTATCATAGAAAATGGGATTTCCTGAACCAGAACACCGAAACGATGATCCCCTCAGGTCCCAAGGGCAGATCGATTGAAACACATAATATTATTGTATTCTTTCCGCAAGTGCTACGACTTAGTGAGTTGCATCAGCGGGAAAGGTTTTTCCTAAGAAGGGAACCTGGAGCTTACCATCAGGATCAAAGAAGAAACATTGCTTAACTTTGCCTCCTTGCTGAGTCTTCTCAAAGTATTTAATATCTTTTGCCTACGCTAAAAGGACAACTTGTTACAAATGAAACAACACAACACAAAATATCCTGCAACCTTCAGCACCGTAAAAATCTTCATTGTGGCAACCTCAGTTTTAAGAACGAGCGACAAAACGATCTGTCCAGTTAAATTTATTAAATCTTTACATTGTCACATACAGAGGCAAGGGCAAACCGTGGAAGTCTAAATACCTTCAGGGTATTGATGGCAGCATCGTAATCAGATACTCGGAAAGACAAGTGAGGTCCCCGCCATAAAGCAGAAACATCAGCGCTGCATTAGACAAAGAAGTCATTGATTAAAACTTGAGTAGGTATTCCAATTTATATAAAATGGTACCAGAAATAAATGAATTCTGTGGTCACAATCTAGCATTTGTAATTAGAAACACCCTAATCTTATACTGTAAACAAGTGAGGTTTCTTCAAAGACTCACGCACAGCACTCATAGATCAGATTAAGCAGGAAGTCACATACTTGGCGTCACTGGGTACCACAAAAGGGCTCTCTGGCAACCGCGACTTGGGATCTCTCTCCACCACATGGAGTGAATAGATTGGCGGCAAATGCAGCCATGTGACGTTGAAGTCTCCAAATGATTGAGGCGTTTCCAGTTTTTTAAATCCGAACACCTACGAATCATGAGCCAGACTTTTTGAGTTCAAGAGCTGTATCTTGTGTAGTTGGGTTAGGTCAAGATAGCAATCTAGTGACGCGTAGCACTCGACGGTTTGCAAGTGACTTGTACTCTGAACTGCTACTACAATTGGATAAATAAGCTTACCAACTCAACAATCTGGATCTCTACTCTACCTAAAAGAACGCTGATTCGATAATGGAAATTGTCGACACGAATTGTAGGTGAAGTAAAGCATAACAAAATCGCATACTTGGAGACAAGGTACCTGCTGGTAAAAATCCACCAGACGATTTACGTCAGAGGTTTCACGAGCGATGTGATGCAGGTGGACGCCCTGAAACGGCGAAACGTCTCCCATGGCTAAGTCTTCACTGTCTCGCGAGTGTTATAAACGTTAGCAAAGAGGTAAAATGAACATCACATTTCTCAGAGTCTATACAAGCTGGACGGTTTCAATATACATGCAGCGAGATGATAGCTTTTTAATAGATGACTACAAGTTCCCAAAAGTTCTACTTCACATGGGTTTAAGTTTTCCGGAAACTAACTTAAGTTTCCGGAGGGCAACAAATTCAACTAAAATGACCGATGGGAACAAAACTTAAACTTATCACCTAACTACAGGAATTGACAGATTTTTCAGCTATGCACTATGTGCTTCGCTGCAATGCTAGGACACTCAAAGGTGATTTCAACAATGACCTTTCGCGATATGATCATGAGTACCATTGAGATTCTCTCATTAGAAACTCTGAGATCATCGCTCAGCTAGCATGAAATAACAGAGTCAACTCTCACTGAAAACAACAATTTCGAATTGGTAACAACTGAAGCGTATTCTGCTTGAATTGGCCATTCAATCCAGCCTGCAATTTGAACACTACCGCAACACCTACACATCCATCCCACGTAGAGACCTAATCCAAGAAACAAGCGCGTCTCAACCAAACAGTCCATCAACCGGTTCATCAGCATCAGCGCGCAGAAGTGAAACGGATTCTTACATGTGCGTACCGAATTTCGGGTTGGTTCTTTCAAAAAACTGCTTCAATGGCACCCCACCTAATTTCGGAGTCGAAAAGCAGAACGGGGAGGACCCGACACCATGGAATGTAACAGCAAGCTTCAACCTCAAAATCGTCTTCCACAGTCGCCGAAACGCTTGCACTGACCGTGCAACTAGAAACAACTGGCGGAGTTGTAGTGGGAATCGCACACAAGGAACGAAGGTGAGCAAAGTGGTGCTGATTTCGGATTCGCCACCATCGTTGGGGAAAGAAAAAGCGAAGGAGTGGCGTGGAGGCGGGACAGAGTCGGCATTGCCGCATGCATCGTGAACGCCAAGTGGCGCTATTGTTTGCGCCACAAAATGCCAAGCCCAGCCTCCGTGATGACCGACAAATGGCCGTGCCCGATGATGGGGTCCCGTTCACACACACGGAGAAGGGCTTTCGTAGGATGGAGTGTCATTGGATGAAGTTGGACATACCGTTTTCATCCATAATCTTGGAATATCATCCTCCATCTTGTTCCTTTTGGAGGATGATAGCATGTGTGGTGCTTCTTTCTTGAATGTTTTTACATTTGATTTTAAAAGAAACAAATCTTGAGTGTGTGAGATATTGATTGGGTGATTACAAATAGTCTCTTTTCTTATTAATGTATGTATTTTCAGAAATTTTGTATTGAAATATTAAAAAACTCGCACCTACTATAATATGGTGTAGCAAAAAAAAAAAAAAAAAAAAAAAAAAAACTTGAAAATATTATCTTCTCTTCTCTTTGGTTGTCTTGGTTGTTGTTGTTGTTTTTTTTTGTTTTGTTTTTTTTTTTTTTTACAAAAAATAAAATCGTTTTCTTCTGTAAGTTAATACAACAATGTGTTGTATAATTATTATATTTTTTTTACAAAAACATAAAATATAAAATATAAAACAATTGAAAAGCATAGTTTAATTAAATTGATTTTACACTTTCACTCATTTATGTACATATATAATGATACTATAAAAATATAATTCGAATATAATATTTGAAAATATAAAATAGCCGTAGGAAAGATACAGAGAACGCACTGCAAAGCTAAAAACAGAACACAATTGCGTTGTGCTGAGACAATTACCTTATTTCTTCGATGGATTCTTCAGCTCACAACAGCGCTTCCAGGCATAGCCATGAGTATCTCTCTACTCAAGAAGACATCACAAACTCTTTCACAAAGTGAAGGCGACGAAGTAGTACAGAACAGAGGATAAGTGGAGTGAGCAAAAAGCACGTGCATCACGAGATGCTCCCCTCCATAGGACGACACTACCTTTTCCAAATACATATTTTCATGATGTTCCCGTGAACACTCAACCTCGAGCTGTACCAATATTCTTCAGAACCATTCGAACAAACGTTTCAAAGTTCACTAAGAATCCCTCCGCATTTGCGGTCGGCGACACTGCAGAAGTTTCATCCACCTCTCCGATGAGGGCCGGGCACCATCAATTAGTGTAGATTCCATCGATGGCGTGGCCAGATCTCGAGCAGCGACAGCTTCGGCTTCTGCAATGCTTCCACCGTTCACCCTCACCAGAAGTTGTAGAAACTACTTTTGTGGGTTATGTTTTGTTGCTTGTGTCGAGCTGTATCGTTTGTGGGTTGTCGTCGCCTGGAAATGTTCGCAGTCTAGGCTCGGTTAAGGCAATTCGTGGCTCTTTCATTTCCTGCTGCTCTTGTCTCGAGGTGTGCTTGTGTTCGTGGATGTGAAGCAATTGGTGGGGTTTTTGAGGCGATACGCTGGAAGTTAGAGCTCTTGTGGCGTAAATAGTACTAAATATGATAAATCGACGACTGTGATGCTACCTGTGAGTCAACAGCAGTGGAGGTGGCGATAACATCTTTCTTTGTTTTGTAGTCGAAGCAGGGATGATACTACACCCTCATCTCCATGCAAGGTGAGTCTTTGAAGGTAGATCATCTCTAATCACTTCCTCCATGTTTGTGGAATGGAGGAATTTCTCGACAAACTGCTAGGAAGACGGGGACTTGGTGTTTCTGATTCTCTGCATTGCGGCAGGTTGTAGTTTAATGCTCGAGTCGTTTGGGTACTTGCTGTAGTGAAATGGCGACTGTGGTAGTCACGATCTCAATCAATAATACTCTACTCTTTGCAAACTCTCTTAACCAAATAAACCTATTGAAAATCGACCACCGAAAAACAGAATGTGTGCATTAGATGCCGAATAAACAGAGGAATAGATCATATCCTCAGCACCCTTGCTCCTGATCAAAACACAGTAAGGATTGTGATCACTAAACGTTAGTTCATGTTCTATTAGGATCGTAGACCCTTCTGGATATTGGACTGCAGAGAGGTCAATGCATTTTTATAATAGCCTTACGCAAACTTAACCGGAACAAATTGTGGAGGGCAATTAACAATCCCGAATTGATTACTGGTATTGAAATTAGATTCGTTGCAAATAGGGACGGGGGGATTTTTGGGTTAAGCTTTTGTAGGGCTAGCGTAAGAACGCGAAGAGCAGATTAACATGCTCTCTCGGTGAGAATCCAGATCTGCGACTGATGAATAGTCTCTGCTGATTTTTTTCAATTAAATCTTTTAGAGTAAAAGAACGACTTCCCACAGCTTTTTCGACCCCGACCTTTCTAATCATTTTTCTTCCCATAACATTCTGCATCAGAACCTTTTTTGTTTTTTTTTGTTTTTTGTTTTGTTTTGTTTTGTTTTTTTTTTTTTTCTCCCTTTTCCTTTGCAGTACTTTCAGTCCTTGGTGTTTTCAACCATCGCAATAATAATATTGTCGGTAAAAAGTTGTTTAATCCTCTACATCGTTTTCTTGCATGTTTCTGTTGTTTGATTGAGGAAAAAGATCCCCTCATTTTGTGTCAGTTTAGGCTAGTCAGCTATGCAGTCAGAGCGAGTAGAAAGTTGCCAATCGGTCTTATAAATTTGTTGTTACTTGTATGTGAGGATACAGTTTTCGTCTTTCAACTGCAGTCGAGAGTGGTCCCGAAAGTTATTGATACGAATAAGTTGTTTTTCTATGTACTTTTTCTTTCGAATACATGATGCGAGAATGATAGTGGCAAGGGTAATTGTATAGTGTCGATAATGGGATTTGGGCACAATCTCGCACACTTCAATGTCTGCAACAGTGAAACTCCTGATTGCTTAATGCTCCAGTCTTCTTGAGCAGGTTTAGGGTAGGGTCCTCCATGTTGAGCAAGCAGAAATCATGGTGAGGAATTGCTTGACATTCTGAGTTTATACTGTACGCATTGTTGTACCTGAACAGAGTCTCGAGAAGGTTGTCAACCAGTTTGGTTCTAGGTAGGTGCATAGACTTGGAGGATTGCAATTATGATTTCGTACTATACCGAGTTCGCATATAATACGATACAGAATCTACATACAGTTTATCATGTATGTTGTAAAACATTTACCATATATTGTGTATAATGCGATACAGAATCTATATATAGTCTGCCATGTATGTTGTAGAACATTTATCATATACCGTATACTTTGTAGAGTGTTTTCTTTGAATTTGTTTTGTATTGTTTACTTCATTCATTGTAATGTGATGCAATTTTGCATTACATTGTTTTGATAACTACATGCACTTTTAGAGTCAACCCTTTTAAGAGTATAATTGATAATTGGAGGTTGGTATGATCATGGTTTGGATTGGGAGATTATGTTGTGAATCAATATTGATTCAATTATACTATAATATTAACATTTGGTATTGTAATTCAATTAGTATATGTATTTTTGACTTGATTCTTAATTGATTAGTATTGAAGAGCATGATCTTTGAATAACAGCTATTAGTTGTTAGTTAATAATTTTTTTATTCAATATGTTAGTAATTTGAGGTATTCAAATTTGTTAATGGTTATGCAAAAAAATATATATGTTAGCTTTTTATATATTTATTAATTTACTTAAATAAATAATATTTAAAAATTTATGCCATGTCATTAGTCATTGGATTTAAAAATATGGTAAAGTAAAATCAACATTTAGATATTTTCATTGGCATGATATTACATCTTTATATCCAATCTTATATAAATTATTAGATTTAATAGTGTTATATTAAGGATTTTTACTTTTTTTTTTTACTTTTGTATATTACATGTTTTAGAATAAGAATTTAGTTTTAATATTAAATATTGGTAATTACATTACTATTATTGATGCCTTGATTTTTTTAAAATATTGAATCAAATTAAACATGAAGTGACTAGCATGGATGTGATTAGCAATGCCAAATTATATTTTTTTCTTTATGTATGATTTCTTTTAAATTATATTTGTGTTTGTTATTATTTTTTTTTCTTTGTGTAATTTTTTTGCCTCTATTATTTGGCATAGCATTATAATGGTGCACATAATATCTTTATTATTTATATATTATGTGGCATTTGATTGTTTAAATTGATATTTTATTTTGCATTAGATTTTTTCAATTAATGTGATGAAATTGGATAATATATTTAAGAATAATTATTTTTGACTTTTTAAATTTCTTCACTTTTATTGCATGTAAGTAGAACTACTAAATTGTGAAGGAGTTGTACAATATTTAAGTGAAAGAGTATTTAATTTAATTGGATGTTGCAAAAAGAATAAATTGAAATGTAGTAAGTAATTGAGATGTACATATATTTTTTGAAAGCTCAAATTAGAAGTCTTTTTTTAGAAGCAAAAGAATTGCTTATAGAATTTATAATTGAATAATTCTTCAAAGCTTTTGAGATATTTTTTCTAGTACATGTTTTGTAATTAAATAATTAAACTTTGATGCTAAGAATAATTAGACACAATATATTATATTGCTTATTGATAGTCAATGAAATTATCATACTTGTAAATCACTTCAACTCATTGACTTATATTATATTGTATTATAAGTCCTTTAGTAAAGACATAGATTATTGGTGTGCTATGCTAATATGTTATTAGGATGTAACTATGTTAATAATATATTACAATTGCATATTTGATGATTTTTACTGAGCTGATTTTTAGAAATCATTGTGATGTAGGATTAAAATTAGTTGATGTCTTAATCAAGTTTTGTGGATATTATAGGATTTATTGTGCATTTTGATTGAATTCCACACTTTATATTAATTTAATCATTATTTAAAACAACAAAGGTTGCCATACTATTATAAAATGGATTTTTTGCGAGCATCAATGGAGATTACAATGAAGGCTTCAACATCATTGAGAAAAGAAGTTTTGAATGAAAGACAATGTAAAAATTTGTTGAACAACTTTTCAAGGGGTCTTGACACAATTCAAACCATCATTGGTGATTCTTGTTGAAATGAGTTTCATG